TTTCGATTGGCCAGTTTCGAAATTCTTTATAAACCAGCTATTCTCAGCGTACATACTAGTTTCAAGAAAAACCAGAATAGAATGTCTTTTGCAAAAAGTTGTTACTGCTTCAATATTCGCCAAACTCACTGGCAAACCCCCTAGAATTTTACTTGGGGCATTAATGACAACAAAGTCAATTGATTCGCTACCCTTTTCCGAAACAAAACTACGAAGTTTCTCCATATCCAAATTGCCTCCAAAAATTCCCGAACTGTCTGTGGTCACCAGACTGACTGGAATTGAGTTGACATCTTTGAGGTTGGCGTCCATTGTGTGGGTGAAAGTGTTGGCTACCACCGACCCTCCTGGTTTGGTAAGAACTTCACAGATGATTTCTTCGCAGAGACGTTTTTGATGAAATGGCAGAATGTTGTCGAAGCCCGTTAAAGTCTGGACGTTCTTCTCTAACATTTTGAAACTCTTGGCCCCAGCGTAACTTTCATCACCAATTACCGATTTTGACTGCTGATTGGTGCTTATCGAATTCGTACCAGAATCACTCAGTAAATCTACGATGACATCCTGATGAGAAATGCGAAAAGGATTGAAGTGAACGGCTTGCAAGGCATTTAACCTCTCCTCGAAGCTCTTGAAACAAATATTTTCAACTGTTTTGATGATATACGGTTCATTGAGCAAATGCCTAAAAAAGAGGAAAATATTTGACATTTAATTAAAAATAGGACACAATTGGGAAACAATTCAGATAATGTATTCATGACAGAAATAATTACCTTGGTAGAGTTTCATGCCCTATGAAAGCCAGGGCTTCAAACTGATTTTCTACACAAGCATTATCTCCTCACTTGGTGTCTTGAAGTATCTCAAAAGCTTTCAACAACTCTTATTTCACTAGAGTTGACCTTCTAAAAGCCAGTCATTGTAAATAGCAAAAACAGTAAAAAAATAAATAAATTATACTAGAATATTTAGTTAGTAAAGTGAAAACAAAGAAAAAGAAAAAAAAACTGTAGATTCTGTGGTAGTGATGATGATTTTATTATGTCTTATGAACATTTATTTCAATATATATATATATATAAGTATGATTAGTGTATACGGAATAAATTCCAATAACCAACAATTACTATTCTTAAAATAGTGCTCAATATAGAGTAGAGCAGATATAATTATTTATTTAAAAATTATAACATAAATATGTTATAAAATCACTACCAAAAATAGCCATCCGGAGGTGTTGAAACAAAATGGCTATTTTTGTGGTGATTTTGTAACATATTTATGTGATAATCTTTAAATAAATAATTATATATATATATATATATATATATATATATATATATATATATATAGGAAATCCACTTGATATATAATCCAAGTGAATCCTATTAATACAATAAGAAAGAAAATATTAAAACTGATTCACAGAGAGCGCAATGTTTTATTCAAACAGAGCATATGCATTATAAACAATAGGAATTAAGATTACTTCATGATATTGATGATCGTCGTATCAACTTGTAAATTTAAATTACAAGGATTTTCAAATCCATCAGATTAACAAGAAAAATCAAAATAAAACCTTTTCTATTTTGATTTTTCTTGTTAACCTGACGGGTTTGAAAATCCTTGTAATTTAATTTTAATTTGCAAGGTGAAATCATCTTCATCAATATTATGGTTAATCCTAATTCTTGTTGTTTATAATGTGTGTGTGTGTGTGTGTGTGTGTGTGTGTGTGTGTGTGTGTGTGTGTGTGTGTGTGTGTGTGTGTGTAAAAATGGAGGAATCATTTTATTTACCTATTCCTTTTTTTACTCGGTACTAATTTAAAAAAATTTTTTTTTTTAAATTAAAGTGAGTTTATTGTACCCACTTTTTGAAAACTTTGTTTGAATATTAAATCTTTGATTTTTCTGGCTCATGCAAGTATTGGACGTTATTTTTATTCATGGTTCACAGACGTGGAGTGTTATCTTCCACGAGAAGTTAATGTTGGCACTTAAACTAAGTTGAAACTTTATATTTCAGTTTCAAGTCTGGATGCCATGCACGTTGTTGATCGAATTCGTGTACTGCTTGTTTGTTTGTAATATTTTTGCTTTGTTTTTTTTTTTTAATAGGAGTAGATAGGTTTTCCTATCTCCCGGTCAATACTCCCAACCTTCTCTTGAACAAAAGTAAAGGCTCATTCCTTGTTTCCCGTTTAGGAGGGGGTTCCCAGGTTCTTTCCTTTTCTATGGCCTTAGTAGTAGTGATGTCGTGAATCTCTTGTGATGTGTACGGTTTGTGGCAGTGTCTCTTCATACTGAGGGTACCGGGTTGACAGTTTTCTAGCTGCTGTTCCCGACTGGTAATTAGGAGCCCGAACACTTGCGTAGCGTCTTGAGGTGCTGCTCTGATCAACAGATGCATAATATCGGGGTTCTTGCAGTGATATATCGCGCATGGAAGGGTGTCCCTGCACGCTACCTGGTGGACAACCCTGAGGCCACATTATTCTGCAGTCTGCACCTATTCCTTTCTGCCCATGTTACATACGATGACCGTCTGCTACTATTGCATTAGGTCTTTCCTTACCAACATAACTCAATATGACCATAATTAACCAAAAATATAAACCTAAACCAGCTCAAAAAAAAACCTAAACCCTTTAACATTTCCGTGGTATTCGTACCAACTTCTGCAGTGGGGAATCGTTCCTCTTCGAAAAGTCTTCTCTGCGAGACTGACCTAAACTCGTCAATCTCCTCCTCTGATTTCTGGATTCCTGGCTGCCTTCCTTAGAAAGGACTCTAAAATTCACAAGCATGGGCGTTTATGCCCGCGATTATCTCCCGCTGGCTAGGGAACTTGTTTTGGAATCTTCGAAATATTCGTATGTGTCTCTGTCTATCTTAGTTCAGTAAGTTATCTCTTCTTTCTCTATCGTTCCCCTTCCTCTCAAGACTGGTGTAATCGATAGCATTCCCGATAATATAGACAAGACCATCTCTCTACATCCATTTGCACACATATTCGTGTTCGGTGACTTTAACGCCCATCATACCACGTGGTTTAATAACTCTGTGTCTGACCTCGCTGGCATCCAAACCCTTAACTTTTCAATAACTTATTCTCTTACACAAGTGTATGACTTTACTACGCGTTTCCCCAGTAACCCTAACGGTAACGCTTCCCTTTTTGATCTGTTTTACTTCCATCCCTGCTCTCTTAGCAACTCTGATCACGCTGTAGTGTCTATTAACATCTCCTTCCACTCCCCTCCAGCCAAGAGCCTCCTACTAACAGAATATCTTTCTGTTATCAACGTGCAGACTGGGACTCGTTCCGTGACTTCCTTCGTGACGTCCTTGGAATGTGGATTTTAATCATCCCGTTCAAAAGTGTGAGCCTGGGTAAAAGACGGCATCGAGGCTTTCGGTCCAGAAAAAAAAATACAAAGTTAAATCGCGCTCATCTTCTTGGTTCTCAGCTGCTTCTTCGGCTGCCATAGCCCATAGGAATCACTTCTTCCGTCTGTACTGGAGCGACATGTCTGATAGCAACAGACGTCTCTTTGTCTCTGATCGTAAAGAGTGAAAGCGTGTCTTCAATGAAGCAAAATTACTATTTGGTGATAGAATGAAACAACGTATTGTATCTCGCAAGTTTGGTTCTAAAGATTATTGGCGACTCTGCAAGAGTGTGCTGAACAACAGCAAATCAACAAATCCTCCTCTATTCAATAAATTAGAAGTCTTAATTTCCACAGCCGATAAGGCTGAATGTTTTGCTTGGAAATTCTCATTCAATTCAACAATCGACTCGTCCGGAGTTCCCCCTAAAACTAAGGTTTTATTGAGTGATATGGTAATGGGCATCATCTGTAAATTAGAGTCATAATGCAAGTGTTTGTGACGGGATACCTAAAGAAATGTTCTCCTTAGCTGGCTCCAGTTCTCGCCAAACTATATAACTATTACCTTGCTAACTCTTGCTTTCCAGCTCATTAGAAGTCCTTCTCTGTTGTCCTTGTTTTTAAGAACTCTTGAGACCCTTTTGACCCATCTAACTACCGTCCTATCAGTCTCCTACTACTCTTCGGCAAAGTCTTCGAGGCTTTAATCAATACCGAAGTGGTTTAGCACCTTACCTCCCTTGATCTACTCTCTGACAAACAATATGGTTTCCGCATTGTCTAGTCTACCGCTGACATGTTTACGGCCATAACTGAATTAGTATACCAAGCTCTTGATAATAACGGTGAAGCTCGAGCTGTGGTTCTAGATATCTCAAAGGCATTTGATAAGGTTTGGCATGCCAGCCTCCTACGTAAACTTCAGGGATATGGTATTACAGTACGGTTTGATTTAATCCAATCATTCCCGCCAAACCATAAAATGACGGTTGTCCTAAACGGGTTGTCCTCCAGTTCCTTTCATACGAACGCTGATGTTCCCCAAGGCTCTATCCTATGTCCTACACTGTTTCTGATCTTCAACGATCTTCCTGATGTCATCAGTTCTCAAGTAGGCATTTACGCAGACGACACTATCATTTACTCCTATCTCAATAGTAAATCCGGGATTGCTGACAAAGTTAACATGGCCGTTGATTTCAAAAAGGATCTCCAATCTGTAGTTGACTGGAACAGAAAATGGCTTGTACATTTTAATGCCTCCAAAACGAAACTGCTCTCATTTACTCACCTTAGAGAAATCTCCGTGCCTCCTATCAGCATGGCTGATACCTAACTCCATGAGTTCCCTCTGTCTTTTCTACAAATATTTTCATGCCAACTGCTCTGACAACTGGTGCCCCACCTGCATGAATTTAAGCGTGCTACTAGGTTGGCATCTCGGCCCCACCCTTTCACTGTTGAAACAGTTAAATGTAGCCGTTTCTTCTACTCAAGGAGCTTCTTTTCTCGCACTTCCCGACAGTGGAACTCCCTTTCTCTTATTTGTTTCACTGATAACTAAAATCTTCAAAAATTAAAAAAAAAAAAACATCCCATTGAAACACGGGTTCCCATACGATCACCGAAGTTAAGCAATGTCGAGCTTGGTCAGTATCTGAATGGATGATTGCTTAGGAATACCAAGTACTATAAGCTTGGATGTGCGGTTGGTATAATAGATAATGGCTCGGAATTATTAATTGGAGAGTCGAGTTTCAATTCCCGCTAGTGTCGTTATATTCACTTACACGGAAATACCCTTGTGAAAGGTATGAATCTACATCTCTCCCCAGCTATGGGTTAATTAGTAAAACTTGTGTCACTAAATCTTTATTATTTCAAAAAAAAAATATTTTCTGGTTTTACATAAATCAATGAAATACTGATTAGCTAAACAGGCATGGCTTAGATTTATTTACATTCTTTGGAGTATAAACGTATAGAAACTAACGTGGCTACAAAGTGAGGGATCAGTTTTTATATAGATTTTGATATAGAATTGATCCCCCACTTTATATCCACATAATTTCTTGTTTGTTGATACGCCTTAGAAAATGAATCTATCAATGATTAGCTACACAGGCACGGTAGTTTCTATACATTTGTATTCCAGAGAATGTAAATAAATCTAAAAGCCGTGCTAATATTCTCAACATGATCCCACAGGGGGCGGTGATCTCCCTTCTCTCTCCATAGGGAACAACATTGGAAAATTCGTAAACTTAAGGAATCAGCACATATGCTAGGCCACAAAAATCTCCTGAGCCGACCAAGCATAGAAATAAATACAATATGGGAACCAGTAATAAGGAGTGCCAGAGAAAAGCAATGATAAAGTTGCAATATGAACTCTGGTAAAGACATGCAATGATAACAGCAAAAATTGCAATATGAGCACTGGTAAAAATGATGCTGAAAACATTAGGTTTATAATACTCGGAAGTTCATACCCAGATGTCCTCTAGGACACATGGCACAGTGGATAAAGGCGTTGGTTAGATCCCGTGACAGACCCAAAGAAGGTGAGTTCAATTCCTGGTTAAGGCAGTGGAGAACTTTCAGAGGGAAAATTAGCAGGAGATAACTGATAACTGACACGTGGAACTAGAACAGTCTACCCCAGTGATCGAAATAAAGGGTTCAGTTCGAAATTCCAACCCCCTGAAGAAGGCCGGAGCGTACAACGGCCGAAACTTTGTGACAAATATGGCGACAAAGATGAGTACAATAGTCCGACTAATGTAAATACTGAGTCAGTTTATGTATTTAATGTAATATATAATTGGTCCCCGATTTTATATCCACATAGTTTTTTGTTTGTTTCTCAAATTAGGTATGAATTCATCTCTTTTCCCCACATTTAAAAATATGGTTAATTAACAAGTCTTATCATTATCTAAAAAAATAAAATTCTTATAATTTCCTGGCTTTAAATAACCTTCAAAAGAAAGATAGAAAACGAATCAATAACAAGTGCGCTTATGATTGATTGACAGATTAGTTTTTTTTTTGTTTTTTTTTCAGCTATTTATGGGTGGGCAATTCGACGTGGGGTAATGTTTGACAAGCTTTTCTCTTAGTCTTTCTAATTATGACTGAGTAGCGAGTTCGATCCTCAAAGGTGCTCCTTTATCTCGGCCTTGTGACACATCTAAGCTGCGCTTTGTAAATCACTATCAACTAATTGTGGCTTATTTAAAGCTGAAACACATTTCGGATTGTAGAAGTAAGCAGTATTACTAAGCGGTCCCCCATCTAAGTACTGACCGAGATCAACACTGCTTAACTTCAGGAATCGAACGAGATTTAATGTTTTCAGCGGGATTTCACCGTAAGATTATGTAGCAGACACTAATAATGACGTAATTGAAACAGAATTGAAAATAAAACGCCATAATTCATTTATTTGTGTTTTAAATTATTTTTAGCTCACAGATAACTGGATAGTAATGTCGGATTTTTACTAAATAGTTTTTTTTCAATAGACGAATAAGTATTTCAGGGGTACAAAGTAGACGAATAAGTATTTCAGGGGTTACAAAATAGACGAATAAGTATTTCAGGGGTTACAAAGTAGACGAATAAGTATTTCAGGGGTTACAAAATAGACGAATAAGTATTTCAGGGGTTACAAAATAGACGAATAAGTATTTCAGGGGTTACAAAATAGACGAATAAGTATTTCAGGGGTTACAAAATAGACGAATAAGTATTTCAGAGGTACAAAGTAGATAAATAAGTTTTTCAGAGTTATTCTGCTTTTACAACTGAATACACGCTTTTCTGCGCATACATGTTTGTTTGGACATAATTACTAGAGGCGGTGATATGTGTGTTTTATGTTGTAATTTTGTTTGAGTTATATACTGTTTGATTTTATTAAGAAATCGTAGGATATTATACGGATGAATGTCATGAAAGAGTTCTTTCATGTTGGTTGTTTCGCTGGTTGATTTTGTTTAGCAGCATATCAACATTTCTAGTACTTGTTTAATACCGAAATCTAAATATTTTGAACACAATTTTATGGCTTCAACTACAGATAAAATATATTGTTGGTCATGTTACTATAAACACGTATTGTTGGTCTTTTTTAAATATAAAAATGTATTGCTGGCATTTTTATTATAAAATTATATTTTATACTTTCATAACATTTTGTTTTTATTTGGGTGTACACTATTTGTCCATAGCTGGGACCCTAACAGGTGCTACCACCTCGGATAGGGTGAACCTGGGAACAACAGCAATTAAGATGTGGTTCCACGCTCCTCAAAATCTCCAATCACCTGACTCTTGCTGCCGGATGTAGTTTATCGTCATACCCAGGACTAAACAAAATAGTAGCTCCCGGTATAATTACCGAAGTTAAACAAAGTTGAGTTTGATCAGTACCTAGACGGGTGACCGCTTGGGAATTCCAGGGGCTATAATAATTTTTATCGAGAAAAATGATAAATACAATCTCTTTTTCTTTCTCTTTTTTTTTACCTTTTAAGCTTCTGTATTTTGAAAATAGCAGGCGTTAGCTTTTGTTATGGATTAACGTTAATAACACCAGATAAATATTATCTTTAAGTGTGGTTAGTTTTTTTGTAATTTAAAATAATTAAATATTAAAAATATTTACTCACATATCTGCCACGTTCTTTATAAGTTCCTTCATTGTTGTTTTTGTTTCGTTTCTTTTTCTCTGATTTTGCTCCCGATAACAAATTTTAAATCTATTTGGATAATTTCAGCCAGAAGATTTTAAATGTAATACATACATAAAATTTATTCCAAATAGAAAATGCTAAACGAATTTTTCCAGGCCTTCTTCTTAAACAGCCAAAAGCTGGAAAAGCCAAGAAGAATGTTCTCTTAATTCGATATCGTCCGACCCACTAGTTTAACGTCATTATATTTCACAATTAACATAAAAAAAATTCCCATGATCCCATTTAAGAGGAGTGGGGGGACAAGAGAATTTCGTTTTGTTTCTTCTTTTCATGTTGTCAGTATAAAAACAATTTTTTTTCCTTTTTCCATTCAATTCTCTCTCATTCGTTATAAGTTTTCGGGCATTTTTTTATTTTTTATTTTTGTTCTCCTTTTTAACCTATGACATCCCGAGGCATCAGTGAATCAGTGACTACCAGGCGTCCCTCCCTCTTTCGCCTTATCGGCCGACTCCTCCCATTAGGAAAGTCAAAATAAAATTTATTGTCAGATGAAAAAGAAATAAACTTTAAATCAACAATTAAAAAAAAGAAAAGAATGTATATTTCATTACAGCTGATATAATAACATACACAGTCGTTCGTCCCCAAAATTAAAGAAAAAAGAAGCGACGTTTCTTCAGATTCAATCGTGATAAATATTATTACACTACATCAGCGTTTTTACAATTTTGGTTAAAAAAAAGCAAACGAACCATGAATTAAGAAATAAATAAAATGTGTAGTGTCTAAAATTACATATGAAATATATGATAAAAATAATTAATGTTCTGTTTATGAGTAAAAGTGCTCAGTATCAGAGACTGAGCGTATTGTAAAGTGCCCACTTTGTTACTTTACATGACAGTATAGGAAACAGAACTGTATGGTGATTGTCAGTTTCATGCTTTAACGCGATGTTCAGAGTAGGGGTGTGTAATTAACGCTCACCATGCAGTTGTAGCAGACGAGAGTTTTACGAATGGTTGGGGGAGGGTGAACAAACCATAATGGCTGCACTTGAAAAAGTCCCGAATAAATGAATTAAACTTTAAACACGTGATTGATTGGTTTGTTTAATCAACAACTTATGGGTTATTTAATGCCGAAATTTAATTTTCTTGCAATACAATTTTATTCTTGTAATAAAATACGATATGTGTTATTCTGCTTTCACATATGTATATATGGCAGATGATAATCATCTTTTGTGCACATACATGTTTTTGTGGATATGATTACTAGAGAGGGTGATATTTGTGTTTTATGTTGTAGTCTTGTTGAAGTCCTATTTTAAAATACAGTTAGATTACTTTTAGAAATTGTCGGATATTATAAATGTCACGAAATTGTTCTTTCATGTTGGTTGTTTGGTTGGTTCATTTGGTTTAGTGGCATATCAACACCTCTATGGGTTATTCAATGTCGAAATCTAAATATTTTGATTACAATTTTATGGCTACAACAACAGATAAAATGTATTATTGGTCATTTTGCTTTAAATATGTTGTGGTGTTGTGGGAAGTGTATATTCGTTGGTAATTGTTGCTTGTATAAGAAGGTAGGTAAGCAGTAGCAGTCACTTATGGACAGCTGCTAGTTTGGCCTAAAGGTTCAACAAGCAATCAAATTGAGGTCACCATAACATAAACAAACAAAATATGAAAGAGAAGGGTATATCAGAAACACTTTATATTTAAATACACATCAATGATAAGTATAATGTTTCTTGATTAACACGCACAAAGTCTGTTATTAAAATGTTCATTCAAAGAAAAGAAATCAGATTATGAAAGGAATTAAAGTGTCATTTTGTGAATACTTAAGTTTAGGCGTGCGGGTCCCAGGAGATGAAAAGGTGAGGTCAATGGGTTGGTAGGGTGTCATTTGATATCTCCGTTGGTGAAGGAAAACTGGAGGCGTCGGGTTGATGGGTGAGAAAAGCGTAG